AGAGAGAGAGAGAGAGAGAGAGAGAGAGAGAGAGAGAGAGAGAGAGACGGGGAGATAATTTTTAATATTTATTTTTAGTTTTTCAGTGGACACAACATGTTTGTTTGTATGTGATGCTGAGGATCGAACGGGGGCCGCACGTATGCCAGGCGAGTGCGCTACCCCTTGAGCCACATCCCCAGCCCAAGCTTCAGCTTTTTTATACATCTGCCAAATATCATGGTATTCTATAGAAAAGAGGACAATGCAGAGTGGGTTTTCTCTCAGTGGTGGTTCATCCTCCATGCTGGGGTCAGGTTCTTTGGGCTCCTGGAAGATCCTCCTGGCGGTCTTGTGCACCAGAACTCTGGGTGACCTGTTCTCCTTGGGGGTCACGCTGAGTCCCTTCAACAGGGAGAGCTATAGCCACAGCTGCTGCTGTGTGGGATGGTGGCTACTGGAGGGAAGTTGCCGGGAGACGGACCCAGAGCATGGTGGTGGTGTGGTGGGGCAGTGACTGGAGTTGGAGGAGAGAAGAATGCTGGCTCTAGAGCTCTCTCTTTATTCCCTTCCCCTCCTGCCTCCCCTTCCCCCCCCCCCCCACTTTCCTGATTCCACAGGTTCGCTGGAGTTTATTTTTTCAGTCAACTTCCTCTTTGTGCTTCCGATTAGATAATTTTTATATTTTTTTCCAATTCACTGATTTGTCTTTCTGTCCACTTCAGTCTTCCATTTTTTTCCCATTTCTGTTACTGTGGTTTTTAGCCCCCCTGCCTTAGTCTGGCTGGGCACAAAATAACCAAGCCACCACAAAAGCCTTGTAGATTCCAACAGCAACTCTTTATTCCCAACCTCTCACCCGCACTCTACACACACGTTCTGGGAAAAAATACACTCCCTCCACCAGGCTCTGCATACCAATTCTCTCAGAACCCGGTGAGAACTCAACGGGAACTCAAGGAGCGGGCGCCTGAGGCAGCCGGATACGCCCTATTCCCAGCAGGATCCACCCTAAACCTGGACCCACCCTAATCCAGCAGGATCCACCCTAAACCTGGAGCCACCCTAATCCCTGAGCAGGGTCACCTTTCAACCAAAAATGCCATGCGTCATTCCTACTTGGCTATGGCTCTCAGCACCCCCCCAAAAAAATCCATTTGGTTCTTATTTATGTTCTATTTTTTTTCTATTTATGTGTAATTTCTTTACCCATTCATCTCCACTTGAACCTTCCCCGAAACCTCCCATGGAGATATTAGCTCCACATTCACCACATTTTGTTCCTCTGATATTTGGCTGGAGTAGAGTTAATATTATCTAAAAGTTTCTGTCTTGATAGACTGCCCCTTTCCAGGTCCTTTAGCTTAAAAAAAAAAAAAAAGGCATTTTCATTACTTTTTTTTTTCTGTCTGCACACATTGGCATTTCCAAGTTGCCAGTGTCTACAGTTCCAAGTCTGGGGTGTATGATGAAAAAGAAAACCCAAGGAAGACACTTACCACTTATCTCTTAACCAGTGTGCTTCTCTTCTCCACTTTTCAGTGTCTTCTTATGTTTTCTTTTACACAATGTCTGGAGTTTTTTGTTTTGTTTCTTTCTTTGAGGTACTGGAGATTGAACCAGGGCCTTGTGCATGCAAGGCAAACACTCTATCAACTGAGTTATATCCCCAGCCCTGGAGTTTTTAGTTATACTTGGTTGGAAGAATAGGAAAAAGCACATCAACTCTACTTTTCCTGGAAGCCAAGACCTGGAGTTTAATAAGGCCTCTGTAATATATTCTCTAATACCACCCAGTTCTTTTATGTGACTAAAATTTGGGGGGAATATATTTAATTTTCTTTTGCAAATGAAAATGGAAATTTGTGGTTAGCTCCTCACATTATGTGCACTGTAATTATGCAACTATGCACAGTATTAATTTATGCCTTATTTTTCTCTTGTCAAATTTTGCATTATAAATTCAATTTTTTTATACTTTCCATGTTTATAATTATTTTTAAATGTACCCTCTTCAGTCTTGTTTCTGGTTAAAACATGCAAATTGAAATTGAATAGGAAAAAAGAAAGCTTTAAGCAATGCAGGATAGTGTGAGTTTATTACTACCTGAATTTTGATAGTCATCATCTTGTTAATAAATACTAAGATTGCATTTGTTTCATGTAATATTTTACTTTCCACAATGTGCTTCTTGTTTCCTTCCCTGTGCCAAATCCTGAGAAGGAAGTTGACAAAGAAATTCTTCTACATCTATGAATAGTTAGTTCTGTTTTATGTGAAGCTATATAATTTGAGGAGGTCTTCTTTAAACTGATAAAACAGATACTACACTTAGTCTTAGTAACAAGATCCAGAAGCAATTAAAGCCATCTTTAAGATAAATAACACAAGACTTTAGAAGGGGCAGTGCAAATGAAAGGACCATGAAGCTTAAATTTTACTAGCTTCATAGAATATAAAGCTTTTATCTATAAACAGGGGAAGACATGGAAGAGCTAATGATTTTTTTTTAGATATATCATAAGCATGATAAGCCTTAAAATCAGCCACCCTGTAGAGATCACAAAGCACAGAAAACCCCCTTTTTTCCACAAACAGGGAAGCTTTTATTTTTAAGAAGACTTTTCTCTTTCACTCTGCTCTTTCTCTCTCTAGTTATGTCTGTAATTTCTAATGTTGCTGGCAGTGACTTGCTTTGTGGTCATGAATAGACCAGTGAAAAAGAGCAGAAAAAAGAAAAAGGTCCATCTTCTTTATTTTAGGACATAGGTAGGTAGAAAATTTGAGAAATATTCTCTAAATAGGCCCCAATCCAGTTAACTTTTTTCCTATAATTGAGAGAAAAGTAATTGAAGACTTTTATTTAGATTTAATAAATTTAATAAATTGAGGAAATATAATTCTTTTTAGATAACACTGGTTGATGTTTCAAAATTATTGAAATTCAATAATTTGATTCAATAATCATTGTTACCCTCCCTATTTTGGTGCCATCCAGCCTCCAAAACATGAACTAAACGCAACCCCTAATGCTTACCAGTTGTTTTCATTTAAAATGAGGTCAATGCAGAACATTTTAATTACAGAAATATGAAATAAACTATGCTAGCTATTTCTTAATTAATTTTATTTATTTGAAATGAGACATTAGTTTGAAAATTTCTTTCAGGACATTTTTGTACCGCAATCTTTTTTGGGCTGATGAGATATTTCAAATCTGTTTGCTTTATGTAAAAGGACTTTGTGAAGATGCAATTAATCTCAAAAATGATAATGAACACAAAGATAATACATCTGCTATATGGCTTGTAAAGGTAGGTAAAAGTATACTACAATCAGCTAATATTGGTATGTGGAAACTGGAAAGAACAAGTGGAAGAGTTTTGTATGTCTGAATGTGTATATTTATGTGTGTTTTCTGGTACTGAGGAGTGAACCTGGAAGAATTCTACCACTGAGTTACATCCTCATCCCTGTTTTATTCTTCTTTTTGAGATAGGGTCTCAGTAAATTGCAGAGAATTTCCTCTAATTTGTGATTTTCATTTTGAGATAGGGTCTCAGTAAATTGCAGAGACTGTCCTCTAATTTGTGATCCTCTTGTTCCTCCTATCTCAGTCTCCTCAGTCACTGGGATTATGGGAGTGAACCACAACTTCCAGATATAAGCAAAGTTTTGAATGAAAGGAAAACAGACTTCTAGATCCATAAGTAAACCATTCCTATGAGTGACTATTATTCTAAAATAAGGACATGATTGCCAGGGATGTCAGTTTTAACAGTTAATAACATTCCTTAGAAAGAATGTCTTTCTTGTTCTTAACCTAAATCTCTGAGACGTTTTATTTACTTTATTTATTTATTTTATTTACATACGTATTTAGAGACAATACAATACAGTATTATTTTACCTAATACATAATTGGCAGTTATCAGCTATCCTTCCCTCAGTGTGTATGTGTATGTATGTATGTATGTATGTATGTGTGTGTGTGTGTATATATATATATATATATATATATATATATATATATATATA